TTACTGAAGGGTGTGCTATATTACATTGTTAGTGAGAGCAAATATGAGCAGCTTCCTGATTCTTTCTAAATTTTGACATGGAATATTGTACTAAGAACTGAATGAATGCCTAGTATATCTAGGCCTCGTAAGACAGGAGAGCTCAAAATTCAGATCTAATCTTGGCTCCACCATAGCCTTGACGGGTATTACTGGGAAGTAGAAGGTAGGATTGAGTGAAAATGCCAGCAGAAGCTCTTACGTTTCAGTACATCTTATCACATCTAGGTGCAAATAGGACCCCTAGCAAACAACAACACTGCCTTTTTTTTTTCTTTTAAAGGAGAATAATGCATGCTTAACAAATAGCCTTTTAAATTATCTTTTTCACATTTATATATATTTAAGTTATGGGTCCTTAAATTTGAGGCCAGAAAGTTGGGTTTCTATCCAATGGGTAAACATTTGAGTAACACCATCATTCCTTAGTAACATTCTCCATCATCTCTTGTTTCTCTTATCTCCATAAATGGTACAATCATTCATCAATCTCTCAAACCAAAGACTTGGTTTTCTCCTTTGGGTTTTCCTTGTGTCTTACTCATGTGATGACTGTCTAAATCCCATCAGAGTGTCCTCATCATCACTACTGTCACTCAGTCCGTGAGTCAGGATCACAAATATAACAAACTCACCTGACCCAATATATTAATAACTTCTCATCTCATTTTGAAGCCTATTTTTCATTCTTCAAATGTGTCACTCCTTACTTAATTCCTTTAATGTCAACTTAATTTTCCCCTCACTTCGATCAGGAAAATTCCAAACTTGGCATCATGTTATATCATGTTCTTCCTGGTCAGATCCTTGACCACTTCTCCAGATTATTTCTAGACTGGTATCTTGAAACTATTCTTTATACTTCTATGCTCCAATCATCCTGAACTAGGCACTTGTGCTGCTGTTTCCTCTACTTATAATACTATCTTTTTTCTTCCATCTCTGTGCTTGGCTGACTACAGTTTGTCTGTCAGGTTGTAGCTTAGACACCACTTTATCTTCAGGACACCTTCTCTGAAGCACCAAAACTAAGTTGATAATCCCTCTGCCTGCTCCATAGGACTCTGGGCTCACCCCTGTAGTAGGTATTCCTAGCATTGCCTCTGCCACACAATTGTTACCGTGTGGGTCCTGGAATGGCTATGGCATGGCTGGTGACATGAGTAATTGGATAAGGGACATTGACCTAACTCGATGGGGATTAATTTCCCTTCCTTAGAAATTTGAACTAAGAGGCAAAAAGGCAAGTGCCAGTTGGTAGTTGGTGCTGTGGCTGAGAGGAGTGGTGTACAATTCAAGTTGACAGTCATTTACAATGACAATGAACAAAGCAAGCTGTTGGAAAGATTGAGAAAAACAGAAGAACTGGTTCCACCGGGGGAAAAAATACTCCTGGTATTATTTCCTGATAGCTAAGGTCCAATACTCAAGAGTTCTTAGATTTTGATAAGAATTGTGTTCTCAAAACACTACTGCACTTAGCATACCCCTTCAACTACACACACACACACACACACACAGTGTTAATTATCATTTTTACAAATAAAACTTTCGCTTGTTTGGGTGCAGATGGTTTAAGTATCCTGTAGCAAGCATTTAGCACGCTGTTCTTTTTGTCTATTGCACTGAGAGGTCAAAGCATGTGAGTTTTCCATCTTTGTCTTCCTAGCACTTAGAGCAGTATCTAGCATGTGTTTGCTCTCAATCCAATGTTGTTGAAAAAATAAAAGAATTCAAGAATTAACAAAGGATCTCCCAGTATTTGATAATACAGATGAATTTTGAAGGCTGACCTTCGTATAATATAAAAATTAAATGGAATTATTACTATCTCCTTATTTATGATGATCATAGAAGCATTGCCATGTATAAACATTAAAACCTAAGAATGAGAGGGAAAAAAAAGTCATGGTAGAGTTTGATGTGATTCTCCATAAAGACTGATCAAATATTCAAGCCTCTTATAAAAGCATTTTGGCTCTTGCAAAAGATGAGCTTTAAAATGAACCCAGAGAAGAGTTTCTAAGACTTTTTGTCAGGCCAGAAGTGCTTTAGCTGTTTTCTAAGAGAAAAATTGTATGAATCTGGCACATTATACGTGTGGCTTAAAGGATAGTTATTTGTGTATCTTCTCAATGAACTTTTTGTATGTCTGCATAGAGTTCATAAATAAAACAAGGAATATGGATTTTAAAAAACACATTGACATTCCTTTAGCTTCTAGGGAAAGTTGTGATATTTAGTTATTAGCTAGGTAATCTGGCCTCAGACTTCCTTCTGCTCTAATATACTAAAAAAATTATCTTAGGAGAATTATTTTTTAAAAATTCTTTATGCGTTGCCACTGTACTATGAAGTCCTAATTTCTAGGAATCTAAACACTCATTAACTCTCAAGTGCTATTAGCTCTCAAGAGTCAAATGAATTCAAGGGGGGAAAAAGCAGTTTAATTTCAAGCCAATAAAAAATGCTTTGTTTTGTTTTTGTTACTGTTCTTATGGCTGTTATTGTTGAATTTGTACTTGCTTGCTTGGCTATCTATACAACAAACAGAGGTTAATATTTTTAAAAATAGTATCATTCTTATTTTTAAAACAAAGATTGCATTAATATCAGTATTTGTTATTTATATTTATTTTTGAGCTTTATATTCTTAAAGAATCTTGTTTCTACAACAGTCTTATTTTTGTTTTGAGAAGGTAGAGGAGGGAGGGGAGAGAGGGAACTTGAATTCACTGACATTTTCTTGTTTGAATTCCTCCAGGTCTTTTCAATTTAAAGAGCTCAAGATAACGTGATATCTCTTACTTCAATTTTATTTTTAATATCTCCTAAGCACTCAAGCTGTCTGTACTGTCTTCCATATTAGGAAAGATTATGCTCTTGTAATATTTACTTATTCTTGATTTTTTTCTATGAGGAGCACTCTAAGATGACCTTCAGTTGTTCTCTGTCTCACTGATAAAATTACTTTTGAACAAAAGCAACTTTCAAAAAGTATCTAATCTTAACAGATTAACATGATTTTTAAGCTCCTTTTAAATCACATGACATTTACCTCAGTCTCCATTTATGAGATCACAGGAAATTTGCTTGTACCTTCATTTTTATCTCTGTCCAAAACAGAATATAATGCAGATTTCCTATTTATAAATTGATAGATATGATTTAGAACCCATCACTACACTGTAACATTCCACATATATGGTAAAAAATTAAACACTAGTAATATCAAGAAATCTTATTAAGCTATAAAATTCAGCAAACATTTAAATTAAGCCAACTTCTTAGATTTCTATACAAAAAACTATTCTAACTAATCAACATTCTGAATTTTTGTCAGAAGACAGAATTGCCAACAGTTGTGTGTGTGTACTTATATTAGTTGCTGATTTAAACTTTTATGGGTTCTATTCATAAATTAAACATCATTTCTAGATTTCTTCTGTACTAGTACTAGAAATTATAATGAATGCATATGCATTGGAGTAAATTAATATTAATTTTATACTACTGTTTTGTAATATAAATCAAAAGAAAGTTATGATGAAAATTTGGGGACTACTGAAGAACATTCTGGGAAAAATGTAACTGTATCCAATTTAGAAAATTTCAGGTATGAAAGGTAATGCAAAAGAAAGCAGAAAGGAAAAACAATGAAGTTCTTAAAAAATGTTTACTATATACTGTCCTTAAAATTCCAGAACATGCTGGAGTCCATTCTAATGCTTCTGTGGATGTGTGTGCACCCACCCACCACCTTTGCTACCTGTCACCACCACCGCCCCCAACCACCACCACACCAAGGAAGAAATGCAGATCTGAATGGAATGATGCTAGGGCACTGATTGAACAATGTCACTGAGAAGGTAATGCCACCATGAGTGCAAAGTTACACACACTCTTACTTTTTCATGTGGCTGAAGTAATTAAAGAATTAGGTTTAACTCTCATACTTCCTTAAGTTCCTGACTGAAACCAAGTATTCCATTTATTTTACCAGAGAATTCTGTAATGGGGTTTAGAAGATGAACTCAGCCAAAACAGTGATGGGTCATGTTCTTCTGCCAGTATTTCTTATATGCACATCCCCATTAAGAAATTATGACAGGGTGACGATGTTTGGGGACAAGATGTGGATATTCATAGTTCTTGTGGCCAAATGCGTCTCAGTTTTTTTCATGTTGGGACATACAAAGAAAAAATTATAAATACTATATTCTCTGGGTGGAATTACTGGGATAAGAGTACTTGTAAGGAGTTTTCTGAAATATTAAAAAAATGCCTTGCCTAAATATCACGTAAAAATAAAATAAAACAAAGTATTGGGGAAAAGAGTAAGTACTGAATTTTGTGCAAATACTCTAAATGCTCCTCTCTGGAGCTTTTAGGGCTGGAAATATCACTCACTGTACTTGCCAGCTACGCAGATAATGTTATAAGGAACTTTCCAACATTTTCCTAAGAAAATTAGGTTGCTTCAGTAACTATAACTTTTCTACGAAGTTTATGCTTTCAATGACTATATGCAGTTCCTAACCAAGATATGTTAGTCCTAATCTCCTCAAAATCTTGGTAGTTTCCATGGATAAGATTTTTTTTTTTCAAACAAGCAGATGATCAGACATGTTCAAACTTAGCGTTTACAACCATTCAAATTTTACAATAGTTGAAACTATCGCTGAAAGTAATTTTAAATTTCCTGTGACGATGCAAAAATATTTCAAACCCAAAGATTTTAAAGGAAACATTTCAAAATAATGATGAGGCTCTAATGTAGAACAGGCATGCATTGTTAAAAGAACTAGCCAGGATATCACTAAGTGGTAACATCGGCCACAAAGAATGGATGCACGTAGTAAATATATGAGAAGACACGTTCGGAGCGCTGCCTGGGCCTGAGCCTCCCAGGAGCTTCTGCCCAGCCACCCCCAGCCCTCTCTCCCCACCGCTGGCCGCACCTTGGGCTGCAATCTGTGCTCCTGGGGCACCTGGACCACGAACTCCTCTGGTAGCTCCGCGGGGCCCTTGTCCACGATGAGCAGTGGCGCGCTCTGCAGCTGGCTGCTGAAGCAGGTGTCTGGGTGGAAGAGCGCCTCCTGGGCTGCGCTCAGCGTGTCGCAGCGGGGCAGCGAGGGCTGGATGTCGCTCACTGTGCTTGCCACCTGCGGGGACCGCAGGGCGCACCATCAGACCCTGCTCACCTCAGGCCCGCCTCAGGGGGGCCCTGGTAGAGGCTATTCCCAGGGCTGCTTCTCTGCTGCAGTCTATAGGCCCAGGACTCCATCCACCCCAGGCCCCACTGAGATAACCCCAAGAGCTAAGGAAATCATAGCTGCTGGGCCCCTAGAATGACATCGTCCCAGTTAAACACTCTCAATTAAGCTAAAAAAATTCCATCCTAATCTCTAACAATGATTAGTCAATTAGGCATAATTATTGAAAGCAGAATAAGCTACCTGAAAAACATACATATTATTTATATTTTTATAAACGCACAGCATTCTGATGCAAATTATTGGCACTAACATCTGTATAAGTGTCAATAAAAATATTGGTTACTGAACTCCATTTTTACACACAAAAAAGCTTGATTAGGTAATGGGTGAAGGAAGTTTCAGAAAGGTGTTTTTATTGTTTGTTTGGTTTGGTTTGGTGTATGGTTGTACTTATATGGATTTTTTTATATTTATTTATATATTTACAGGCCATTTAATTAACATTTTTTTTTAAAGATGCTGTATTAAGATCTGTGATAGACATCAAGGTGAAAAGAATATACATACATTTTTGTCATTTATATATACAGTGATTTTACTGACAAATGGTACATATTACATAAATGAATAAATATGGAAGACCAAGACAATAATGAGAAAAAAACTGTACACATATGATTCTTTAAAATAATTCAGAAAATAGTCATACATTATATTCTATGAAAATAGAGCTATTTAAGTACAGGGTTTTTTCCTAATGAATTGATACATAAAATACACATTTCTCTACACTAAATGCTACTAAATACTTCAATAAGTAGGAATGATTATGAAAATGTATCTGCTCACAGAAAGGCGAAGATTTACAAAGAAAAAGATTTTGGTTTATGTAAATATTTTTAACATAGTATGAATGCTCAAAAACACAATAATAATGCTATATGGCGAACATTAAACAGGAAAGAAACTAAGAAGATCAATAATGCAAGAGAATTTTATAATCATCTTTCTAACACTGGAAGTTTATACAGTGGTGCTATAATTTCTTGATATATATAAAATATTTGCAAATTAAGAGTGAAACACACATATCTCCCAAGTCCATGATATAATATAGCCCTTAAAAAATTATAGTAAGAAATCTGTGAAACAATCTATGAGGGAAAACTTTAAAACATGTCTAAGGTGCTGCACTCAATATTTTTTATTTAAATGCATTATAATGTATAGGAGATAACCGAGCAAATGAGCAAAGTTGCATTCTAAAATCGATTCAGAAAAGTAGAATAGGGTATTGCTACTTGTCCTTCTCTGGATAAGAACAGCCCTCAGAAGCAGGCTTAAGCCCCTAAGAAATCGTTTATGAGAGACCCTTCCTAGCACCCCAAGGTAAGTATGGTAATAGAACCCTGAGTAAAGAAAATAGAGTAAAGCAATATGTTAAATGAGTGGTTCAGATATTAACCACTAAGTATGAGTTTACATCTTTCACGTCACCACCCAAGTTGGAAACAGAAGTGAAAGAGACCCTATGAGTGCCTCTAACAGCTCACAACACATTGAAATTGTCAGAAATAAAAACCTTGGGTTCATCACACCAAAGTAAATGTGTCCCATGGAACAAGACCCAAGCCCCCACTAGAAGGGCCAGCCTTTGGACAATCTAAAATATTTAAGGGAAAGCAAAAACATGGAAAATTTTGATATTTTTGCTAACCTTTCTTTGATTATTTTGTTCTATAGGATAGAAAGACAACTCCCTAGTCAGGATTTCCCCTGGCTGTCCCTTCTTCGGTTGATCTATCTTGCTGCTGAGTTTGTCATCCTAAACCATGTTCAGTGGTGTATATGATTTCTAAATTTACAGAAGCCAGTATTTCAGATCACCTACAGAGTGCAACTAATAGCTCTGCACTCAGAGCTGCCGTGTTTCTTTCTAGCCCATCCCCGTATCAGACATTGTGTACAAGGTGACAGTCCATTTTGCCTTGCCAATTCTTACTGTTTTAGTTATTGCCTATGACTTTTCTCGCCTGGTAATCTGTTGTTATAAATATACTGCCAAAGCTTTGCAATGACATACATAAGTATAAACTTAGCATCTAAAACATCCCCTATTCAGCAGGAAATAGCCCAATGACGACATCACCCTTCCTCCCATAGATATGGAAGGGAAATATTGACAGTGAGGAGTATGTGAGAGAGGGAATGGCCTAAAAATATGGCAAAAATACTTTCTGTGTCTTTAAAACATCCTCCACTTTTTGAGAACCAAAACCTGCATTCCTGTCTCAAGCCAGTGGTTGGGAGGAGCAGGGTAAGTCTTTTTTTCTTTGTGCTATGGGAGATAGCTCAGTCTAGGGGAGGTCGGTCCTGGGTGGAGGTCGTGGAATTGTCTTCAGCAGAGATGGGAAGATTAGAATTATCACCTTCGGTTGAACAGCAATTGCCTGAAGCTGAGAATGTACCCTTTACAAGCTCTGCATTTCTGCTTACTAGGACACTGGCATACAGACGGAGTCTCTATCCTTCCTCCTTCACCAAGTAACAAACTTCTCTTTCCTTCTCCTCAAAACATAAATAAATTATGTGTAATTACTAAAATATCTAGACCAAAGGTAATCTGAATGCCATTTTGATAGCCTGTGTGGAAAAGAAGGTGTCAAAGAAGGAAGTAAGTTTCAAGACCAAAAAACTTGTCAAAGTCAAAATCTTTTAAAAAATTGCATTCTTTGATGTTTCACGCTTGTGGTATCATTTCAGATCTTTTGACTTCTGAAATATCCCTCTTCCCACTGCCTAAAATGACAATGTGACTAATTTTAATGTATCTTTTTACATGAATTCTTATAAGCATGTTTTCTCTAATAACTTTATCACTACTTTATGAAATAAAATTAGCAAAAGGTTATCAAGATATGTTATTCAACAAGTTGCAGTTATAATAGAATGGAAAGATTTTTATCCTCAGCCAAGCTAACACATAAGCACATGTGGAGTGATAGATTATGTGCTTACTTGTTCGTTCATTCAACAAATACTGAGTTCCAACTATGGGTCACGTCATCGTCTATGTACTAGAGAATTTGATCAATAAAATAGAGCACATACCTACTTTAAGAATCGCATAGCTAGTAAAGGGAAATAGAGAATATATGAAAAGATAGATAATAAAGAAAAAAATATACACAGATATGAGTAATCTATAGAATATTTAAATAAGGTAACATGTAAAGCCTACTTTAGTTGAGTTCTTATGGAAGAGTTAGCTATGGGGGTAACATATAAACTGAGACTTCAGTGAGATTTAAAGTTGCTAGCCAAACAAGAATCAGGAGTGAAGAGCATCCCAGGCTACTGCAAAGGCCTCTAGGCTAGAACCACCTTGGTCTGTTCAAGAAAGCACTACGGCCGCATATAATGGTCAAGGAAAAGAAAGTCTGGAATGAGGTCAGAGAGTTTCAGCAACAGCCAGATCATGATCTTTGTAAACCAGAGTAAAGAATTTAGTTTGAGGGTAATCAGGCATCTGTTTAGGATAATTAGTATAGGGAAAGACCTGGAAACAGCGATCTCTTCTAACTAGAGATCAGTCATTTCCTGGACAGTAGTAGATCAATTTCTACTAGTAGTCAATTTCTAGTAGTCAATTTCTACAGTAGTCAGCAAATGACAATTTAAAAATGCATATACAATGGAATCAAGCATAAATAAAAAATAAAAACATGCTCCAACTAGAACCAGAAAGCAAGTTCTTGGGGCCCTAGAAGTAAGTTTCTATTGAGGAATAAAATAATTTCACGGAGTAAGACTAAAGAATATAAAACACCAGAAGATCAGGTAGATTCTGACCCTAATGTTAGAGGAAATTAGACTCTGATGATGTGTTCTATTAAACAAAAGTATCTTATGTGTCTATAATTCATACTCTCATTTAAATTCACCATCTTTATAAAAGGAATCCAGAGTCACAAATCAGTGGCGGCAAAATAGGAGAGGCTTTTACACTGTTCATGTGGATAAGGGCTACTTAAACTGAGCCCAAATTTTAACTTTTGTTTTAAAAAATCTTGTAGGTGTTCCATTTATGGTATTGTATGACATCTAGGGAAATATTTGAATTATAAACATGAATCAAATTTGTCTTCCTGAAACTATAATACAAATACGTTTTCAAGATAAATATCACAGCTCTGAGTCTGGCATTTCATTGGAAGCTTGGAATCTTAAGTCTGGAAAGATGCCTGTTGGAGAAATATGATTGAGGAATTAATGAAATGTGGCTCATAAGACTATTATCTCATTATATACCCCTATATTACTATATTAAAGACAGAAACAGGAGTTTGCAGGGTTTTGCCCTGAAGGAATATATGAATTCAGTGGTTCGCTCATCAGAGGCTGCTATCATGGGAGAGCTCTCAGATCTCCAGTAGGGATGTTTTCCAGGAAGGCTTCCCAGTATCTCAAAATCTGTGAGCTTCCCTGTGTCTTGGAACACAAGAAAAGGCAAATATGGCCCACAGGATGGGAGCCGGAGACAATGAGTGCACTTTGCCCAGAGATGTGCCCCGGTGGTTATAAACAACCTGTTTTATTAAAGATGGGCTTCCTGCTCTCTCCTGTCTGTCTACCTCTAAGTCCACCATAACTAATCAAAGAAATATTAAGTCACTATTCCTCTTTTGTTTTACCTTTGTTAATTGACAACTACTTCTTAGAACTTAGAAGCCAGCCCCTGAAAGACCTTCTACCTGTTTGTTCACCTAGATAGATTAGAAGCTCCTTGAGAGGACTTTTGACCCTAACCCACTACCTGTATCCCCTAGCACTGCATTCCCTGATATGCAAATGTTACCCTGACAACTGGTAATTGACATCTGTGATTATAAAAACCTGTATGAATCTAACCATATTGCTGGCATTTATGGAGATACGCCAGTCTC